TTCTTCATTTTGACTGCCTCAGCTTCTAGTTTGGCTTCTATTTCGGCCTCTTCGAGATCTATAGCCGCCAGTTCCTTCTTTTTTTGCCGCTCCTCTTGAATCACACGAAAGACTGCTTTGGCAGCTTTAGCATCAATGATTGCTTGCTCTGCTTGTGAAATTCAGGATGCTCGGCTGTGACGAGAAGTTACTTTCGAATTGCAGTAAGCGCCTGTGATATGCGATTGTTGTGACACGCTGGAATGCGTTTTGGATATGTGGCAAAAAGATGAGGCCTTTCCAGACACGTGAGATGGAGCCGCATGCCACCGTTGAGATGGTGCATGTGAATGGCAGTAAACTTCAGACTCGGCCCTGTCGATCGGTCTGTCTCTGGTGTGAGGCTCTGGATCTGGGGGGCGTTGTGGGCTCTCCAGAAGCTTCTTACATTCCTCGTTTAGTAGCTTGAGGCTTCGCATCTCTCTATCGATAGTTGAATCTCCTAATTGCTCCTGAATGACCTTAAGTTGCCGTTCGGAGTCCATCCATTGCGCAAAGGCATCTTCCTTATCTCCTTCCACTGCATGCGTACGTTCGGGGGAGAGATCCTCTTTTTGCTCTTGGTAGACTTTGTGCCATCTCTCCCAGCCTCTTTCATGGTGCTTGTAAATGGCGTCCCATTTCTCCAACAGGTGTGCATGCATGGCTTCTGTAGGCTTTCTTTGTTGTCTCAGATCATAGTGACCCTGAGGCTTGAGCTTCAGCCTCTGTGTGTGGGTCAAGGTTGGCTGTTTGCAGCATTTCTCCTTGGCTGGCTGGTTGGGGTGTCTCAACTAGGCTGGTTGGTTGAACCCCTTCATCTAAATCAGTGGGACACTGCCATGGCTAGAATAGGTTCAGTATACTTCCTAGCTATTTAGAAGCCAATTAGATGAACTTCTATTTTTGACCACTAGGGGTCGCTACTTGCAGATCAGCTTCAGAGGTGCTGTCTGTGGGTGGAGGTGCCACTGGGAGCGTTCTCCTGTGCTTGTGGGTACTTCAGTGCAATTCACCTGTTCACCACTAGGGGTCGCTTCCTGCGTATCAGCTACCAGGGTTCTCTTCCTTCGAGGTACACCTTTTGTCCACTAGAGGGCTTTCTCTGGGTGTGATTAAAGGCTTACGTGTAGTTCCTCCTTTAACCACTAGGGGGCGTCTGAAGAAAGGCCAACCAAATTCTTCCTATTACCATGTTCCTGCTAATGGCCACTGAGAGAATGTAGAGCTACAAAACTCCCACCTGGTCATTAAGTTGCAGGCTGAAACACTTGGTCTTCAGCTTGTGATAATAAGCAAGGATAATTGCTGCCTCCTTCTCCTTAATTTCCCTCAAACTGGAACAACTTGGTCTTCAGCTTGAGTGAGTGAATACTTTTGTGAAGTTCACTCTGTGCCCTTTAGGGGGTGTTGGTAGCTTGGGGTAAATTTAAGTAACTTGCACTTTAACTAACATTCACTCTGTGTAGTCAGTGATGCGTTCAGTGAAGTACCTTTTTTCCTCTATGGGTACTCTTAGCTTGGCTTGGTATAAGCCTGCTATGTGCTGAATTAATTATCAAGTTGATGTAATCCACATTTAATTGCCAGAAGATTGCTGAAGGAAAGAACAAATTGGCCACCAGGGGATGCTACTGTATTGCTATTGGGGCTGGTTCTGCCTCTACCTCTTTATTCCATTGACACTGGTTGAAATTCCAAGCATTCCTAAGGGAGGAGGGAGTTTGGCCTCTTTCACCAGCGCTGTGTTTGTGAGAGCAGCTTAATTGCTTAATTGCTTTCCTTAGCGACAAGGAATGTGCCCTGCTCTTTGCCAAGGGGACAAATGGTCTTAATGTTTGTGCTGGGGCCAGAAAAGAGGGGGAAAATCACCCTTTCTTAGCATTGAACAAAGCCAACAGAAATTTGCTAAAGTTAGCAAGAAAGCCTTTTCATCCTGCTATGTTCATTTAAAGGATCATTCTCACTCATTCCAAGACATCGAGACAAACTGAGTTGAATTCACAGACAATCCTTTGAAAACATCTCCTCATTGCCTCAAGAAGATGGCTGAAGCAGGCTAAGCTTTTCCTGAGATAGATAGCACAATATCTCTTTGACTTTTACAATGTTTTGTAAACAGACCCTAAGGCAAATTCAGCAGAAGCATCCAGCAGAATCTAACATGCAGAGTTTGAATTGCGTAGTTAACAGCGAATTAACAATACAATGCATCTGAATCACACCTTCTTGAAACGCTGTCTGCCAAACAGATACACTGACTTTACTGTTGAAGGCGATACTTGGAAATCAGTCACATCAAGTTACTTTCACATGCAAGGGAATATTTGCTTTACTTCTTTAAATTTGCAGATCAGAGGAAAAGTAACCACATCAATTTACTGTTCTGACCCAGACAGAACACCAGCTGGCTCTTCAATCCGAGGCAGACAGACCACTCAATAGAAATGATTTTAAAACAGATAAATGTTTATTGCAGAGGAAATACCTGAATCTATGAGGTTACTTCTGGCTTAACACGTCTCTGTTCATTTCCATAGATAAATTGATGATGGATTTTCCTCTCTTCTGCCTAAGCGTTACATGTTGGGATGATCATGAGATCTCCAGCCATGTGGCTGGAAGCCATGAACAAGATGAACAAAGAAACTCCCATGTGGCTAGTGTCCAGGAAGTCTCCCAATGCCCTTTAGAAACTCCTCCCACTGACCTATTAACAAACCCAGCCTTTAGAAACTCCTCCCACTGACCTATTAACAAACCCAGACTTTAACCCAATAACTGCCAGGGTCCAGAATACTGTCCTTCTTGAGTCCCCAGCCCTCTTTTGCCCCTTATAATTAGCACTGAGATGATCCTCAGCCCAACAATGGCTGGCTGATGCTGTAAACCAATTCTGTATATATTTTGGAATAAAAGCAGTTTTTAAAACCACTTCAAGATGATAAAATTTGTAATTTTTTAAAGAGTTAGTTTATTCCCCACTCTACTCCAAATTAAGGGACTACAGAGTGTAAAAATTAAAAAGAAATCTTTCATCATATTTGTATTTATATAAGTGTATAAATCAATATAAATTATGTTCATATTTATACAGTTGTAGGCATAGATACACACACACATACACAGAGCCTCAGCGCCCTGTTTTTGGAAACAAATTCTCAACCAAGCATTGAGTGGAAGAGGAAGCTTCTGTTGTTTTATTTGGGGAAGAAATGGAGGCGCATTCATACAATTCCATTTTAACAGAACCTCTGAAATGGAGTCAGTGGAGACCTTAACTGTAATTGTCGCAGGCCTGCTTTTCTTCATTGCATTTCAGAGTTAGGGATATGGAGCATGGCTTTTCTTGCTTATTTGCACTATTTGTCTGAATCTGGGAAGTTCAAGGACTGCCTTCCCAAACTGATTTCAATTAGCTTACTTGCTAGTTGGTAGCTGGCCTTGCTCCTATACAGATTCCCCCACCTGCATACAGTATTTAGTTCAGACATTTTTAACTTGGCTGTTGCCCATATGAGTTATGAGTTACTGTATGAGAAAAACAGTCTAAAAAACTCAGTTTAACATAGTGCCTAAATATGGGTTGCAAAATATGAGGCAACCCCACCTTTATGCACTTGAGTGCAACGGATTGTGTTTTGTCATAAGGCATTAAGTTGGTTAGGAATGGATATTTAAGAGGACAGAATACTGAAGTGGGACCCATTGATTTATGCTACAGAGCTCAGCTAGAGGGCAGCAAAGCCAGAGGAACAAATACTGGAGGGACAGCCCTAGGAGTTGCCATAATTCAGTGAGAAACCACATGTAGAAAGTCTGGGCTCCTGGTAGAACTGCCCCAATCTGGAGAAGCCACTGCCAGAGATTAGTCATCTCCAACCTCATACCATCTATAAAAGCTGGACTAGATCTTTCCTTATCTTCATGTAGGTATAATATAAACCTGAGCTTAGATAGACCTTAGTTATCCGGGGAGTACAAGCAGTGTCTTCTGAGCCCCCCTCCCCCCATATAATTTCTCCACAGTTTCCAGGTCACATGAGAATTCTGGGACCTGCCCGAATGTGTTACTTTAGCCATGAATGGAGATGCGCACCGAGGCTCTACAGGGTAAAGGAGGATGAAGATAGGCCGTTCTCCAACTACTGGAGACGGTTCAACTCTCAGTGTAGGAATTTCCAGCTTTAGATCAAGAGACGGTTGCGCGCTATGGGAGGACCGAATGGGGACGAAGGTGGATGGCTTTGCGTCTCTTTGGAAGAAAGGTGAACCCGGAAACGAAGCCCGCGAAGAGGTCCAACAGGAGAAAGATTTCCCTGTTCTCGGCGCTTTCCAGCCAAAGGCACCTGCGGTAGGAACCGAGGCGCGCGACGAGGGCGCCTCCCTTTCGCCGCCCACCCGCCTGTCATCATCGCCCCAGCCCGCCTCCTCTTCTTCCAAACTGTCGCCGCCTCGGCCCCTTTTGATGTTGCGGCGAGGAGGAGCCTGAAGCCTCGCTGGCGCCGGTGGACAGAGCGACGGTGGCGGCAGCAGCGGCGGCAGCTGCGGTGGCGGCTCCTGCTGCTGCCATTGGTAACGGCCGCGAGGCTTAGCGAGGAAGCCCAAATGGAGAGAGCGATCTAGGCGCGCCTTAGGTGCCTCTTCCCCGCGCTACTCGCCTGGCTTCCCCCGGGAAACTCTCGGCATTGCCCCACGCGCGACGCGCTCTCCGGCTCTTTTTTGCCACTGTTGACAGAGGAGGCTTCGGGTTTCGAGGCGCCGGGAGGATGCTGCTTTCGGCTTGACACACCCGGGAGGATGCTGCGAGCTTTGGGGCTGGCTCTGACCTTGTTGATCTTCGCCTGCGGGATCTTCAATTTGTCCTGAGGGAAAAGAGCCTCCGAGAGGGAAAGCTTGGGAGGCTCCGAGTATTGCTTTTTTCGCCGCGATCCTCTTCCTGAGGAGAACTATGGACTGATCACCGCTCCCTCTCCAGCCCTATGGAGTCCCCGCCGGTATCCGCGAGCACTTTGTGCCTGCTCTTCTGCCTGAGCTCCGGTAAGGGCAAGGAGCCGTGGGTTCCCCACCTATTACCCTTCTCCCCGAACCCCCGCGCGGTGCCCTTGATCCGACCGGCTCTTTGTTTTTCATGGGGAGAATCGGAGTCTTTCTCCGCCAGGGAAGAGGTCGGGAGGATTGTTGGGAGCCAACATCCGACTCCCAGAACTTTGTCAATAGACTGCACGACACTAGGTCTCGCAGCCTGACTGGCAGGTGCGGCTGATCCAAGGGGATCTCGAGTCCTGGGTTGTTAGAGAGGAGAAAACCGGGGTCGGGTGAAGAAAATGTCGGAGGGAGAAAAATTGCCCCTATTCCGTGGTAATCTTATTTTTCTGGATCCAGTGTTCGGCATTGGCGTGGACCCGTCGGTGCAGATTGATGTGTTGAGCGAGTTGCAGTTGGGGGATTCTGTGGCTGGAGTGCGGCAAGTTCAGGGACTGCACAACGGCAGCAAAGCTTTCTTCTTCCAAGGTAGGGACGCCCACCTTTTCTGGGTTGCAGCGATGGCCGAGAGCTGATTCTCCGGGAAGGGTCGGCTGAGTCCACTTGAACAATTCCAGAGCTTGCGAACTCAGGCATTTGATCGAACCTTTTCCATTAGTTTTGAAGGCAAGCGCTATTCCATTGGGCTCACCAGGCAAGATTTGCTCAGTAAGGATTCTCCCAGTGCTTTTAAAACATCGCCTATTTCCTACTCCCCCCACACTCCCCCACCTCCCTTCACCTTTCTAGTTCTTCTTTGACTGATAGGCCTTTCATTAAGGGTCAGCAGGAAATCTGGTGAGAGATGGCTTATTTTGCTAGCCATAGAAAGCCCTGCATAATAAATACAGATTGGTTTAGACAGGCTAAAATTGGTTTATTTGCTAGGACAGACTAAGCTTTTGATTTAGTTGCTTAGAAGAGAATGTTGGCAATAAATACATTACAGCCTATATCTGGCATTGCAAATGTTGCATGAATAATGTCAGTCACTCAAAAATATTTGCCTTTTCCTTTGATTAAAACTCCCCAAAAGAACAAAATAGAAGAAATCCCATTATTTCTGTATACAATAACTTTAGCAGTTTCTAATTAAGCTATTTTTTCCCTTATGGTTCCTTTATTCTTTAGTTTGCAAACAGCAACACCTTCCATGAGATTGATACTTAATGCTTTTATAAAGATAAAATATTTTTTGTTGAAAGTGCATTTGTTGTTTCCATTCTGATTTATTTTGGCCAAATTACATAAATTAATGTGTTGTGAAACTAAGTTGTAGAGCTGATTGCCTTTAAAAAAAAATAATACATAATTTCTTTAATGTTGATAATTATTTTAATGTTTGTTTAGAGAGTGAACTAGTAATAATATATTGTTAGGTATTCCAGTAATGAGAAAAGTTTTTTCCCCCTGGTGTCAAATGTAAGATAAGTGTAACTTTATAAAACAAATGTACAAGTGTTTTTACCTGTAAATAAAAATTACAGCCTTTTTCAGATTGGGGTAGAATCCAAAAACCCAACCAAACTCAGATTTTGATAATGAACAATTCCAGACATTTTTAGAGGTCACCAGGTTGGGAAAAGCAAGTCCATAGCTGCCCACATAATCACTGGGGGTTCTGTAGATACTGTTCTTCTAGAGATCAACCAGAGTGTGTCACTGTAACCATTATCATAGAATATTCTGGGCATTTAAATAGAAAGATTGGTACATGCTATTTTTATATAGAGGAAGCCTCATTGCCCCAAGATTAATGGTCACTCAACAGAATGAAAATCTCAAAAGTCAGCTTTGGGACTAGTAACACGAACATTTCAGAATGGTGCTCATTGTTGTAAGGGATAGATTTATTCTTGTCTTTTGTTGAAAGAAAAAAAATTAATGGATTTTTTTTTGACATTTTAAAAGTTTAACATTTATTTTTGTTTTGCTTCTACTTTCCCTTTTTATTCTCTCCCTTATCAAGTCATTCAGTAGAAGCATTCATTTTTATTTTTTATCCATTCCCACATACCATTAATCTGTGGTGCATCATAGGAAGTGATATAATTTTTTCATCTTGGATGAAAAATAAATGAATATAGATAGGCATCTGCCCTACCTTATTTTGATTCTTATTGCTGCCATTTCCCCATTCTCAGAGTTCTAAAAATCTGTGTAACGTCTTGTCCAAATCATGACAATATATTTTGATATATTTGGCAAATAGAGATCTGGAGGTATTCAAGAGTATTCCTTACCTAAGCTAGGCATTTTGCTTAACATATTAGTGCTTTATAGCTAATTGTAAATTGATTCCAAAATCTGGGTAGATGCCTGGAGATCTTACTGCATCATACAGAGAGAAGAGTGATGGCTCTGTGAGCCAATAGTGAAATGCTACATAAAAATTGCCTACTATTAAGGAAATGTCTCTTTCTCTGTGGCCCTACCCCACCACAAAAGAGAGAAATCTGGAATGAAAGACAGAACAGGAATTGGATTACCTCTAACTACTCAAGATTGTTATCTGATCAAATTAAGATTGATGAAAGGAATTGGGGAAAATATAAAGACATAACATTGGGGCCATATAAAATTGTTTTGCCATGCAAATTTGCTTTGTCCTGCTATTCCTGGAGTAATATCACTAAGAAACCAATCAGATGTTTCCTTGTGATGCATTCTCATGAAACCCATTAGCTCTGTGCTGATTAGGTTGTGTAGACCTGGCCATATAGATGGTATTTCTGGTTTTCATTGCTTCTATTGGGATTATTTTTGCCATTAATTATTCCACTCCTCTCTCTCTCTCTCTCCCCCCTTCCTCTCTCCCTCTCCCTCTCTCTCCCTCCCCCCCCTCTCTCTCTGTGTTTGTGTGTGAGAGAGAAACATGCACAGAGAGAAACAAAGAGAGAGAGGGAGGGAGAGAGGAAGAGAGGGAGGTGGGTGACTACTTCTTTTGTCACTGGGAAATCTGTCAGGCCTCCTTTCCCTTTCCCTGGCAAAACAACAAAACAAACAAATAATCAAATAAACCCTTTGAAGAATAGATTCCAAGGCAGCAACATTTTAGATAAATAGGCACAAATAAAGTTTATTTATGCAAAGTTTCAGATAAATTGTACAAAAGCAATATAGCTATTGTAAATGAATCTCAGTGACTCTGGTATCAAATATAAGCTTTATTTATAGTGAAATTAAGGCTTAAATTCTTTCATTTTTTCTCTTGCCTGTATAATGTGGCATCTGTCTTTAGTAACAAACAGATCTGGTATCAGGCTGTTTGTTTTTGACCATGTAAGCTTTCACATCACCTCCTACTTCAAAAGCAATTCTTCCTATCCACTTTAGGTAAGGAAGGTTGGTGCTTCTTTCCTCCCTCTTTTCCACATAGCCAACTCAGCAAGGTTCTGTATTTTTTCTGCATATTCTCTGCATCTATTGATGTTGAACACTTCTCCTCCCTTCTCTCCCCCTCCAGAGAACTTGGATGAAAAGGACTATCTCTTCCCTTCTCCCATCCTAAAATGTCATTTTTCAGAGGGAGAGAAGAGGGAAATCTATCTTTATATCCCCCAGAGAGATAACTACAAGTGGGCAGTTTCTGATACAATAGATTGATCAGATGCAGTTCCCAGATCAAAACTCATCCCTCAAGGATCTAGTGAAGCTGGGTGGGAGGTAGGAAACTGCCTATTGTAATTTGGGGATCAGAGGCAGGCAAGGAAAGAATATTCATTTCAGAAATGTATTCACTTATTATTCTCCCACCCTCCCATCCCCATCCAGAAGTTTGTCCTGCAGAAGGTTTCTGGTTGGCAGTTAACATATCATCTACCAGATCAAGTGCCTTTTCCTTCAGGGTTTGAATTGCTAGCAAATGTTATAGGAGGACTGTAGGGCCAGTTAGGAGGCTTGGACATATGTGGATATAACAAATAGAATTGGTAAAGAATACAGAATGTCAAGCCCCGTGGGCTCAACATTAACGGGAGGGGGGAGGGAGACGATGATACCTGGGGAAGCCAGGAAGCCAGCGATGCCGCCGAACAGCTGATGGTAACAACGCTGAACGTTGAACGTTTAGGAGGACCCTCGGTCGGCCACCAGTCAGCTGTTCAGCATAGGAAATCCCGGCAGAGGCTAGTGGTAGGGATGACACCTGGGGAGAAGCCGGGGATGGTCCTACCTGCCCTGCAAAACTGCCAAACAGCTGAGCAGCCGCGCCACCGCCAAACAGCTGAGTGGCGCAGGAACGACACCCGGCAGCAAGGACTGAGTAGCAGACTGGAGAGGAGAGCCAGGGACCTGCGTTGCTGCTTTTGAAGTTACTCCACTGGATGCTGGCTACCTGGATGGGGGGTGGAGCTGAGGGGACAGACTGCATGTAAGGTGCTGGGAGAAGATCACTCCCAGTGCTGAATTTGTTTTGCTGTAAATAAACGCTGGTCAGGCCGTTCAATTTTCCAGCCACCTTGACGACGTCGACCACTTGTCTTCTGTGGGACCAGGGGTTGGTAAGGACACTGAGAGAAAGTCAGCACCACCACCATCACCCATTGGGATGGATAACACCAGGCGTATTGGTCCAAATGGCTAATGACCTGACTTAAGAACATTGCCAAATGATCCAGGTTCCCATTGAATGTCACTTCAGCAGTGGAGGACCCCAGGCCACCCCATGGGCCCACGACCCCAAGGGCCATCCTGGGCCTTGTAGAGTGTCGACCACAGGGGGAGAGCACTGTTCCCTGGTCCCTATTCCCTGCCAAGCCGCTGCTCTGACCACTGGAACTGGACGCCTAGGGGGAACTCTGCTTGGAGCCATCAGCGACCTACCTTCCCACACAGCCTGCGGTTGTCTTTTTGGAACGGACAGGAACATACCTTGATCAGGGCCTCCCACCTGTGGGGTGTCAGGGGCATGGCCGGCACCTAACTTCAGCTTCAGGCTGGACAAACGAAACCTGGTGGGCCCCGACTGAGGAGGCTGGGTCCATGGCCATGCAACCGTCTCAGGTCTGACTTCCCACCTCGGCCAGAAGGGAGGATCCTGGAACCCTGCCTCTCCAAACCTCTCCCTCAGGATGTCCATTGTGTGTCACCCTGGTGCCCTGGAATAGTTCCAGTCCCCATCGTCGTCATCCGTGATACGCTTCTCTCTCCTGGCTCCTGGCTCCTGTGACACTGACACAGAATTCATGGACATTCTCTGCTGCTTCCCAGGTTCTATATTCATTTCTGCCAAATCATATATTCCAATTTGCTCCTTTTCATTGAGAGACCAAAATATATTCCATTTTGAATTTCTCACCCAACTGAGATTGAAATATAAGGAACATGAAAGACATTCAAGGACCAAAACATAACACTGGGAAGTGGATGTACTTTTATTATAATTGAATATTGCAAATAAAAAGTAACTGGATTAATCTTAGTTGGTATAATGGAAGGACCAATAAATTTGGCATTGTGGATTTGCTGGTTTCAGGGATACATGAAAAGTAGTAAGTAGTGAGCAATGTGCAATCCCCAGTAGACTATCACCACCAGGCCTTACTGGTGATGATAGCAGTACATTTATAGGAAGCTTGGCAGGATTAATATGTTCCTTGAGGAGCTAGTATGCTGTAGAGGATGTGGGGCACTGGAGTGTAGAGTTAAGCAGTTGATATTGGGAAACTATAAGTTGTTTGAAAATGTGGCATGCATGTAGAATAATAATAACTTTGTCACTTTGAATACTAATTGGCATACATTAAAATGAAATTTAGTTGCATACAGTTCTCAAAGGGTCACCACCTCTGATATACACTACATAAATATGACAAAAATAAATAAATAAATACAAAGTTATGCACATACCCACATATATTATATGACACAGACAAACAACAGTCTAGTTTGGATTATGAATACATGCGCATAGCGAGAAAAACAAATTTTGCGAGTTTACCAGATGAATGGTGTTGTGTCCTGAGCCTGCAAGAGGCAGGCTCAGGACGTTGCAAGAGTCCCGGGCATTTTCAGAAGCTGCCCGGGACCAGACTGAGCGGTGCCAGCCTTGTGCGCATGCGCAAGGCGGGAAAAGCCCGCCTCATGATTGGTTAAACTTGCCCGGGGATCAGAGGGTATAAATAGAGGCCTGCGTGCCTCTGCTCGGGTTGTTCGTAGAATGGAGCAAACAATAAAGACTTGTTGGAGAATGCTTCGTCTCAAGCGCCATATTTCTCCGGACTTAACACTGGCGACGAAGGTGGGATTCAGTCTCTACAGCTAAGAAAAGCTAGAAGACTCACCCAAAGAAGTCCGGAAGAGAAACGGCGTGGAAGTCAGCGTTATCCTGCCAGTACGAAATCGCTGGAGGGTGCGTGCGGCTGAAAGAAGAAAACCTGATCCTCGATCATGGCAAAAGTTGGGTGTTTATCGGAATTGGACGTCTCTCACCCCGAGAGGTGGGAATCTTACGTGGCAAGAGTTGAGACGTATTTCCGCATAAAACAGATAAGGGAGGAAGGCTTAAAGGCTGCCACATTGTTGTGCGTTTGTGGGCAAGACGGCTTTGAGATCGCCGAGAGCTTAATCGCCCCGGACTCGCTGGAAACGGTATCATACTCCGACCTCAAGAAAACTTTAAAGGAACACTTTCAGCCCAAGCAGTCTGTCATGGCTGTGAGACACACGTTTCAACAAAGAGATCAGCGAGTGGGAGAATCAGCAAAAGACTACGTTGCGGCCTTGAGAAGAGCAGCTCAACCATGCAACTTCAAGGACTTAGAGGAACGACTGCGCGATCGTTTTGTATGCGGATTGAGAAACACAGAATTGCAGCAGAGACTGTTTGCCAGGGAAAACGTCTCCTTCCAAGATGCTCTGCGAGAGGTTTCGGCCGAAGAAGCTGCTGGCGGGGCGGTCAAAAACATGAGGCCTAAGCGAAATGTTCCAGAGACCGCCACTATTCACAAGGAAGATGTGCGCGAGGATTCAGACGAAGATCCTGAAGAAGAGGTGGACAAGCTTTACCAAGCAGCTGGGAGAAGGTCCAAGGATCGTCAGGACAAGGGCCCAGCTGAGCTTCGTTGCCTCGGATGTGGTGGACGCCACAAGCGAGCAGAATGTCGGTTCCGTTCCGCCATCTGCCGTGCGTGCGGGAAGAAGGGCCACATCGCTGCGGTCTGCCTGGGTCAACAGAAGGTACAACCGAAGGAAGAATTGATTCTGAAAGGTACCAGGGTGCCCAGCCAAAACAGGGTGGGCTTCTGTGCAACACGCCGGAACATTTTAAGAATATGCACACACAAACCCCTTAAAAAAAAGCTAACACTTAAAGTGAAATTGCAGGGAACTCCATTATCGATGGAACTTGACACGGGGTCTGCCCTATCCATAATTTCCCTCAACACATTTCACAAAATCTGCAGCAGCAGTGGCCAGAGAGTTTCGTTAAGGCCCTCTAATGTGATCCTTACGGATTTCCAAAATTCTAAAGTGTGCGTTAAGGGGGAGGCCACCCTTAAGGTACAGTACAAGAATTTTGCAGGCCCC